TCTCTTTTATATTCTTAATTTGTTATTGTCAATAGGCTCTCATTTTTCCGGAGAATTTGAGAAGGATTTGTGGTTCACCATGGCTTAATCTGAAGAATCTGAAGGTGAAGACTTACTGCAGATTGACGAAAAAGAACAAATTGAGAGACGCCCTGTATTGGCTTTCCCCTAAGTTGGAGACTTTAGCTATTGAGGAAGAAAAGAAAGGTTATTTCTATTGTGATCAGAAGGCGATTTAGACGTACTTGAGTAATTGGGATAATTTACAAGTTACTATTGGGTCGTGAATATAAATCTATTATAGTGTGGTAAATGCTGCATCTTTTCATGTGAAGAATCTAGAAAAATTGCAGTTAGACGTATGTTTGTGGTGCATCTATTCATGGCTCGAGTGTTGCAGTCCATAATCAGATAGTACTAGTAGAGTGGGAACAATATTACTAACTTTAGTTTTGTGTTTATTTCGGGTTTAAAATTTCTGCGTAGCACAGGCTTATGTTTGTACTTAATTTTGGAGTTTTGGAATTCTAAATGTTTGAATTTCTATTAGCTAGTATTTATTTCTTGGGGTTTTGTAATTTGAAGGGTTTTTTAGTTTTCATTTTGAGTCATGAATATGGGTATGTTTGAAGGCCTATACAGGATTGCAAATCTTTCATTTGCAATCAAGATATTGTCAGTTGTGTTTTTCAAATAGATTGTTTCTTTTATTTTCATTGTTCATGGCATTCTTGAGAGAGTCTTGGTGCCATAAGTTCAGATATTCTGAGTGAACCAAACGGTTCCTAAAATGAAACCATTAACCTTTGACGATAATCAATATCAGGCCGGTTTATATAGCTTTTTATTTTGGCCTAAATTAATTTTCCTTATTGTTGGTTTGTTTGTTGCTTGCTAAATTAGGCTCTTTTTTCCCCCCTTTTATGAGGGCAATTAGAGTGACTAGGCTTTAGCTATCTAGTATTTGGAACCAGTTTCTGGATGTCGTAAAGTTAACTAAATAAATTAAGATTAAAGAATATAGTAATTATAACGAGCGCTGGTATGTTGTCGCCAATTATACAACCTTAATTTCTACAAATTACCTCCGAATGCAAATAAGCTCCAAATTCACAGATAACCTGTTTTATCTAAAAGTGCACCTCACTACTGCAGGAAATTGAATATCAAAAGGGCACCTCACTAGAAGGGAATTTGTAAGAAATTGAATATCAAAAGTGACCTCACTAATGTGGCAATTGCCTGAAATAGGGTCACTTAATTAGGTTCACTCATGGATCATGATGTTACCCCTCTCTGAAGTCCTTTGTGGTCCATCTATTAGTGAGTTTTGTGTGTTTTGATTATGTATTTAATTAAAAAAATTGGGCCTCGTTAAGGGAAAGGGTTCGAGGTGGGTTGCTGAAGTGGGGGTAATCAACAATGGATATTATTTTATTTTATTATATTCTATTGGGTGAGGGTTTGAGTTTTGTTTTTGTTTTTTTTTTCTTGGATTAGGATCGTCTATCTCCTCTATGTCTATCCAATAAAATTATACCACGTCAATTAGAATACCACATCAATTAAAATATGTACATGTTAGCAAACATTTTCACGTCACTTTTCATTTTCTATCGGTTTATTATCGTTTTTTGTTTTTGTTTTCCCTATCTCCTTCCTCACTAAGCCTGTTTCAATACTCCAATAGCAACATTGAGTATAACTGTAATGACTGAGAAAATCCTAGACTTTAAATAATATAATTTATTTATTTAAGTCAAAGATTTTCTTAGAAAATATTATGTTATATTGTGAATAAAGAATTTATGGAATTAACATCCGTATTCTTAAATTATGTAGCAGATTTCATGTTAAGTTCATGTTAACAAAGTAACCTCACCATCTTGGGTAGTTGAGTGTAAACAAAGTAACCTCACCATCTTCACTTCACTTTCCCTCTCTACCGTCTCTCTCTGTCTCTCTTTCTCTCTAAACTTCTGAAGCATAAAACCAACTTTTTCATTAGGTCTCGTTCATTTTACTGATTTGAGTTTTCAGTTTTAGGTTTTTACAGTTCAAAACTATCAAAAAATGTACATTTAACCTTTTGTGCTACAATTAAAAGCCTTTAAATAATGTCACACATAACTTCGAATTGAAATTAAACTCAAAAACCTCCTTTGTAACCAACCAGAACACTTGATAACAATACGAGTCAAGTTATACGAAGAGTCTGTGGTTAATTTCCTAATTTAGTTGTGAAAAGTTAATGCTGTAGGTTCGCATACTTTTTCAGATACATTTGTATTGACCTTCAGAATTCCTAGACCATGATAGAAAATCAACAGACGAGACTTTTTAAATTGACACGTGATAGAAAAAAGACACATGATTAATATTGACCTTTAGAATTCCTAGACCATGATGGAAAATTAACAGACGAGACTTTTTAACTTTCGTACTAGATTTTTACTAGTATATAAGCAGGGACTTTTGTCTTCTCAGTTCAGGATCAAAAAATTTTGTACCCCCTTCTCTTTGCTTGATATGTGATTCCTCATTTTTCTTTTAGTCTCTTGGAGTTAAATGGCTACAAAAAGAGTAAAAACAAACTTTAGAGACCAAGATACCAGCGCGGCTGTAGACAGAATTTCAAGATTACCTGATCCTATAATTCATCGCATTCTCTCTTTTATTCCCACCATTGATGTTGTCCGGATGAGCCTCCTCACGAAGCGTTGGAGACGCATGTGGTATACAGTCCCTTCCTTGGAGTTCTCAGATGCTGATATTACGCACTTCGCCTTTCACTCTCGCAAAAGATTCTATAACTTTGTCGACAAGTGTTTGAAACACCGCGAGGCAAGCATGCGCTACATTTCTGATTCATTCATAACTAGATTTAAGCTTGATATTAAGTATTATGGAGGTAGATCTGCGCTAGATAATTGGTTATCCTTCGTAATTCGAAGCAATGTTGAGGAATTCGATCTTCGTGCGAAAACAAAATTTGAGTGGAGCTACATTTCTGATTCATTCTACTGCTTACCTGAAGCAGTGCTTAGTGCGGGGTCATTGAATGTTTTGAAGTTGGAAAGTCTGAAGTTGAATGGTGCTTGTTCAGTAAGTCTTCCGTCTTTGAAATCTTTATCCTTGAAAGCTGCCAAATTGGATGATCACATATTATGTGGTTTAGTCACGGGATGCCCTTCCCTTGACGAATTTTTCTTGAAGAATTGTAAGGGATTGTCGAATCCGAGAATTTCGAGTTTAAGCCTCAAGTTCTTAGAAATTAGATACTCATCTTGTCAAACACTTAAAGTTGAAGCAATAAATGCGGAGTCTTTCACACATTCTGGAAATTGTGAGGACATCAATATTTCTGCCTGCAGGGCAATTAAAAGTCTTTCTCTGCTTAACAATTGGCTCGATGACAAGTCTTTGGAAGATATAATTTTTGGACTTCCCCTCCTTGAGAGTTTGACTTTAAGGGGCTGCTATAAGATGAAGAGCATCAAAATTTGCGGTCAACACCTGAAGAATATAACACTTGAAAAGGTTTTTATTAGAAGAGAAGAAGTAGAGCTCTCAATTGAAACTCCAAACCAAGTTTCCTTCTGTTACCAGGGTGATGTAAGGTTTAGCTTAAAGATGAAGTCACCAAATCTATCGAATGGCAACTTCGTAATTCGGCAGGACTCTCACGACAATGTCTATGACAACAATTGGTATATCGATATGATAACATTTCTTTCAAATATGAATTTCTCCTGGAACTGCGTGGACGTTCATGTTTACAAAGAAGAGGTATATATACGTATATCTGCAAATCTAATAATTGATTGTTCGATTTCATGTTTATATACAAGGTAATTGCAGGTTAAATTCTATGCATAATTGATTTATCACTTTAATTTATTGATGTCTCTCTTTTATATTCTTAATTTGTTATTGTCAATAGGCTCTCATTTTTCCGGAGAATTTGAGAAGGATTTGTGGTTCACCATGGCTTAATCTGAAGAATCTGAAGGTGAAGACTTACTGCAGATTGACGAAAAAGAACAAATTGAGAGACGCCCTGTATTGGCTTTCCCCTAAGTTGGAGACTTTAGCTATTGAGGAAGAAGAGAAAGGTTATTTGTATCGTACTTAAGTAGATGGATTTCAGAAGGCGATTTAGACGTACTTTAGTAATTGGGATTATTTACAAGTTAGTATTGGATCGTGAATATAAATCTATTATAGTGTGGTAAATGCTGCATCTTTTCATGTGAAGAATCTTGAAAAATTGCAGTTTGACGTATGTTTGTGGTGCATCTTTTCATGGCTCGAGTGTCGCAGTCCATAATCAGATAGTACTAGTAGAGTGGGAACAATATTACTTAACTTTAGTTTTGTGTTTATTTCGGGGTTTAAAATTTCTGAGTAGTACAGGCTTATGTTTGTACTTAATTTTGGAGTTTTGGAATTCTAAATGTTTCATTTCTTATATCTAGTTTTTATTTCTTGGGGTTTTGTAATTTGAAGGGTTTTTCAGTTTTAATTTTGAGTCATGAATATGGGTATGTTTGAAGGCCTATAAACAGGATTGTAAATCTATCATTTGGAATCAAGATATTGTCAGTTGTGTTTTTCAAATAGATTGTTTCTTTTATTTTCATTGTTCATGGCGTTCTTGAGAGAGTCTTGGTGCCATAAGTTCAGATATTCTGAGTGAACCAAACGGTTCCTAAAATGAAACCATTAGCCTTTGACAATAATCAATATCAGGCCGGTTTATATAGCTTTTTTTTTTTTTTGCCGTCATTAATTTTCCTTATTGTTGGTTTGTTTGTTGCTTGCTAAATTAGGCTCTTTTTCCCCCCTTTGTAAGGGCAATTAGATTGTCTAGGCTTTAGCTATCTAGTATTTGGAACCAGTTTCTGGGTGTCGTAAAGTTAAATAAATAAATTAAGAGTAAAGAGTAGTAATTATAAGGAGCTGGTATGTGTTGTCGCCAATTATACAACCTTAATTTCTACAAATTACCTCTGAAAGCAAAATAAGCTCCAAATTCACAGATAACATGTTTTTATCTAAAACTACGAAAGCGCTACTCTTGTTTCTAATTAAAAATAGGAACGTCAAGATCTAACACTAACAGTGTGAGTAACTAATTATAAAAACAAAAAAACAGTGACAGTAACTGCCATTTGATGATCGATCTAGTTTCATAGGGAAAAACTCATTGTATTTATATTTTAGCGGCAATAATGGT